AACTTGGCAAGCGTGTCCATTTCCATCAGCATACCCTGTAACTCATGCTCCACACCGCATTTTGTAATGACAAAGCCAGTTGTCGTGTCTGCTTTGAAGTCCAGTTGGCCTTCAGCTAGTGGGAGCTATTGCATAGTTACATCATTAATCCCTTGTACCAAACAGTTTCTCAGCATCTCATGGAGGGTTAAATCAAAGTCACATTCCTCTGCCAGTCATTTTAAAAATCGTCAAAAATCCCAACACTGATTCCCCTGATTCTTGAACAGCTGAGTGAAACCAATAGTGTCTCAGAATTAGAGGAGGCTTGGTGTTGTAATATTCCTTAATTAAATCTGTCAACTCTTAAAAGGTTTTAGTATTCGTTTCCTCAGGAAACATTACTCTCCTGATAACTGAAAAAGCTGCAGGTCCACAAACCGTCAGGAGAATTACTTGTTGCTTTTCATCTGCCCAGAAAATGTCATTTGTCTAGGAAAAAAAAACACATTCATTCCACACCCTGGGCCCAGTTTCTGACAGCAGAATCAAACAAATCAAGCTTGCCAAATAATGGCATGATGCCAGAAATACCCAACTCAAAGATGATTGTTGCAAGCAAATTTCTTCAAGACTGTTGTTCTTTTTTTCTCTCTCATCACCACCACTGAAATAACTACACAGAGGCTGGTATCCCATCACCAAATCACCCTTTATTTACATGCGGAAAGTCTTTGCTGACACTGATCCACTTTCTCAGTGAACAGGATGTCTGACACTCTTCTTTATATCTGCCAGGCGAGCCTCACTGGGGCTGTTAACCTGGTGCAATCAGGAAACTAGTGTTCTGAGGTTCACCTGGCTGACCTTGTTACAATCTATACAGTACGTCACAAGAAGACTCGGCATTCAAATACGTTGAGGTGTATAAGATTCCTCTACTTAACTGATTTATATGCCAGCTAATCATGCCATGAAATGTTAAGCCTTGTCTATTCAAAGGTAAATAATTTTATGCTAAGTTGTAATTGCTACTAAACAAGATTACTCACGTTGAATTTTACACTGCACTCCTGACTTCACCCTTGAAGATGGTGGATAGGTTTTAGAGAGACAAGAGGTGAGTTACTCACTTCAGGCTTCTTCACCTCTAACCTGTTACTGTGGCCACAGCATTTATGTGGCTGGGCCAGTTCAGTTTCTGGTCAATGGTAATCCCCCAGGATATTGACAGTGGGGATTCTTTTATGGACCAGAACAGACTCCGTCCAAATATTTTAAGTATTATAGCCTAGACCCTAACGTTCTTACTTTACAGGCAGATGTAAAGTCTGTTTCTGATTCAATGTGACTGGTCAAACTACTCAACATTAAGCAAAACATATTTTAATTACATTATTTAAATAAACTACAACCAAATAGAGAGGAATTTAGAATAACTTTCCTATTGAAACTTAACAGATACAGGTAGCTGTTACTAATTACTGTTCCAATATAGTAACATCCCACAAACACCCCTTGGCAAAAAAGGAAAGTTCGGACACGTGTTCACACATGCAGTTCTCCAATCTAGGAGGAGGAGTAAAAAAAAATCAAAAGAAAATTCAGAGTAGCAGCTAAAAGACATTCACTGAAACCTCTAGAGATAACAAGGTGTAGAGCTGGATGAACACAGCAGACCAAGCAGCATCAGGGGAGCAGGAAGGCTGACGTTTTGGGCCTAGACCCTTCTTTAGAAACCTGTAGCTCTCGAGTCCCCACTATCTTTTTCTGCCTAAAGCTAAAACTTAAAAACTAAAAAGCCTGGTTTATGAGAGCGGGCCACACCCAGGCTGCTTCCATTGTACCAAGTTTTTTTAAGAAAACCCCCCCAAGGCCTCACAAGCTGTTTACTCAAATGGCCTTCAGTAATCAGCTCATTATATCTGCCTTACAACCTCTCTTCAAAAAATACCAAGACAAAATAAACTCTTGAAAGCCATAGAATCATCACATTTGGTGACGGAAATGTCATTAAATTTCATAGAGCAATGGTTAGATTCTCCTTTTTTTTGTGGGAGATGGTCTGTTGCCCTATACTTGTGTTACACAAATGCCACTTGTCACATTGCACCCTAAGTCTAATTTTTTTTTTGCCTAGGTCTTGCTGTGTTTGGACATGGACCTCATCAGTATCTGAGGATTTGCCAATGGTGCTGAATATTGTGCAATCATCGGCAAACATTCCCACTTCTGACCTTTGGATGGAGGAAAGGTCATTGAATCAGTTGAAGATAATTGGGCCAGGGCTACGATCTTGCAGAGAGGTCCTCATATTCTCTGTTAACTTGTCTGGGCCTATGAAAACCCAATTAAAGTGGGTTTAAAAATTGAAACGTTTGTAATAATAAAAGCTCTTGAAATTATTTGAACCATGTACTCAGTTCCCCCTGCAAACTAACCATCCATCCTTCATCCCACCTCCATTTTAAGAAGATTCAAGTCAGATTTGGCTTTCGTTTCATTCTCAATATTTCAACCTCCCATTCCCCTGTAAATGTCAGCCTATACATTTTCTCTCCGAATCATTGCATGCAGTGATCTTCATGTGCTGGTAGCCCTGTTGATAATCATTTGATTACAAAGTATTCTGGAGTGTTTTGGTTTTGCATTGAAGGCAGTGTATAAATGCATGTTTATTTACACTCTTGGAATATGGCAGTTTAATTTCTGCTTCTAACTGCTCTTGGAAAACACTGCTGGGCCTTATTTTTGAACTATGCTGTTTGTGGGGTGAAGGTAATCCCATAGGGCAATTAGTGAGGGGTGCCCAGGATTTTGCCCCAGAAATTAGAGGAACAGCAAACATGGAACAAAAAGGCTGTCTGACTGAAAATCTAACCTCATCCAATTGGCTGCTAGGCTTATTTTCTAATTCCTTTAGGAAGATGCACCATGTGAGTGGGCACATTGTCTGTAGGCAATGGCATGATTGTGGTGTTGCATCAGAGTGCAGCACGGTTGTGGGATGAAACCTCCAAGAATATGGCTAATTAGACTTGGCAATCATGGTGTTATGTTGCTAGTTAATGTCTGAGTCCAGTACAACACTGTCCTCATTTAACTCCTGGATAGAGTTCCTTTTCTCCTCTCCATTTTCCCCTGTGCCCGCAGATGTTTTTATTCGACCTGGTCTGAAATGTTGTTTATGCATATCTGGGGCAGGTGACACTTGAATCTGGAATCCTAAACCGAAAGGTAGGGACACTATCACTGCACCGCAGCAGGATAGATAATCTCACGGCTCCTGATTTTAGCATTTAAATATTCATCCCTTTATCAGTGCACTTGTTAATTGCATCAATTGAAATCAGGCACGTGCATGTGGAGGGGACGGATTGATTGATTGGATCCTTACTGGAACACACGTAAAGAGACACTTATTGTCATAAGTTCGTTGGAATCAGGATAAGCCTGCAATGTTTCACTCTTAATAAATCATCCTAAGTAAAAATTGGCTTTGTCCTTTACCAATTAGCAATCAGGATTATAATTTGCTAGAATTTTTACTACTTAAATGCTGACTTCTTGCAAATACCCTTATTGAACGTTGAAATTTTATTTGAATTTTTAAAAAAATGCTCAGACTTATTCACAGTCGCAGATGCTAGACCAGTTGGCACTAGTCAGTTTTAGTATAGTGTTGAAATCCAATACCAAAGATTGCATAATTAGGAATTTTTACAGACTATGCAGAATTAGTAAAATCCTGATTAGTGTGGAACTAATTTCACAAAGAATGTTACTCTTGCATCAGGATTACATTTTAATCAGGATTTTTCTACAATAAAAAATGCAGTTGTACCTAATCCTTAAAAATGTGTTAGGATGAATGTTGTTTTTCGTGTGTTATTGGAGTGTATAACAAAGGACTAGGAACTGTGAACACAGGAATAGAAGTTAGCCTGAGTTGAATTTTGGACCTAGAATCAGCCTATTAAACACTGTTGATTTCCCCCAGTGGGATTCTCGTGACTGGCCTGATTGGGTGTCTGGTTCAGTAATTTTAAAAGCACTGAATACAGTTATCCTAACTCCACAATCGGGTCAGGAGGTGAAGTTTGAACCACCCTCACTAAAAGTGCTAGAAGGCATTGATCACAGCTGTCAGGAGTGCTGTGGAGCCAGGAAGAACAATCCTGATTCCAAAATTTTTTTTCAAAAGATTATACTTCAATTTCTCTGGTGCCAGGCAGTTTGTCATCCACAGCAATGCCTTAAAAAAAACCCCCACAGTGGGCAGCCCATTTTCCCTGAAGAATTTTCTTCACTTGAATAATTTCAAGGAGGATTAAGCTTATTGCTCTATAAAAGCTTAGCATTACATTCAAAATTATAGTTGCCTCTGTATTCTGACTCTGGCTTTATCAGTCTGACCAGGAATGACAACTTGTGCTGTTCAATTATTGTGTCAATCAAAGGAATCGTGTGTGACCATGACAGAAGTTGTCATTGTGGCTCAGTCTGATAAAGCCACAATGACAACTTTTGTTATGGTCACACACAATTCCTTTGGTTGACACAATAATTGAACAGCACAAGTTGTCATTCCTGGTCATTTGTATGTAGCAATAGTAGACCAGGATGCCCAAAATGAGATTACACAAACTGCACCCACTTATACCACTAGGATTGCCAGGACTCATGTAGAAGTTTCAGGATTAGTCCAAAGTTTTCTTTGTTTACAAGTTTAACAATTTCATATTGGCCATGATGATAAAGTACCAGAATCCATGACTTGGACTGTACATACTTGCAGCAAATCAGCCTGTTTTTAAATTTACAAAACATTAACAGGCATGTGGACAATTATTGTCAGAATATTTTTTCAGCATTTCATTGTGTAAGTGAATTAAACTATTAAATGAGAATGCTGGTAATGAGTTAATACACTGGAAACTACAGCTTTTTTTAAAAATCATCTTTCTGAAGATTAGCTCAAGTCCCAAAGTGTGTTCTAACCATGGTGCACTGCTTTTCAGAGCTGAAAGACTGCTATAATTCTCAAGCAAGAGATTAAGGTTTGTCATGAAGACATATACTGTTGTTGGGGCAAGATTCCATGCATTCTGTCCAAAGACCCTCCTTTTACAGGTCAGTCTCAGCAGTGAAGGCTATTCAACCACAGTGGATCCTAATCCAATCCTTACTCAATATCCATACATGTGTACTATTGCAGGCAATCGCTTGGCAGCAATCGGACTGAGACATTCCTGTTCACCTAAACACACTTGTGCTCTTTCTGACATTCCTGCTGAGGTTAGCTATTGTATAGCAATACATCATTTTTAAAAAGAACAGCAAGGTATTATTGCATCAATTAATTAAAATGTTTATTTACAGTGATCCGTGCACAGCATGCTCCTCTAGTCTGTTTAGTAGTATTAAAGGACATAAGTCAGCTACTTTCCAAAATGAGTTCTCAGAAAATAAATCCCCTGGAATCACTTTGTTACAACTCTAAGTGACCAAAATGGAAACTGTCTGCATTTGGTATAGATGGTGAACTTCATTGAAAGCTTGGTCTTGCTGTCATTGTTCTCATACAAAATCAGTTTCAGTCCTGTCATTGGTGTTAAAAATCCTATTGCTGCTGTAGTAAATGCTGAATGTAAGCAGGAGTTCTCACTACATTTCCTGGTTAGCATCTATCTAGTGGGAGTATCAGAGGCTGAGGGGTGACCTTTATAGAAGCTCAGAAAATCCTGAGGGACATAGAGTGAATAGCCAAGGCCTTATCCCCAAGGGAGCCCAAAACTAGACGGAATAGATTTAAAGTGAGAGGGGATGGTAAAAATTTAAAAGGGACCTGAGGGGCCACTTTTTAGCAAGAGGGTGGTGCATGTATGGAATAAGCTGCTACAGGAAATGGTGAAGGCTGGTACAATTCCAACATTTTTAAAGGCATCTAGATGGGTATATGAATAGGAAGGGTTTAGAGCAGTATGGGCCAAATGCTGGCAAATGGGACTAGATTCATTTAGGATAGCTGGTCAGCATGGATGAGTTGGACCGAAGGGTCTGTTTCTGTGCTATACATCTCTATGACCAGTTGAAAGGCAACTTTGGCAGAAATTTGGAATTTGACTCTATTTTTGACCATTTAATACTTTGGGGAATTAGGGAGCCCCAAAGCATGGAATAGAATATGATTTCACCATGATTTTTCCAAGTCATCGAATTAATTGTTTGGCCCTGGATTTGAATTGGCATTGGCAGCATGAAGAAAACATTGAAATTGAAAAACATTTATGTTGATTTAGTCAAGATTGTCAGATATTTCAACCAATATTTTAACACCCATGAAATTGAAAATGCTGACGGAACAATTATCAAATTATAATAAACATGAGTTCAGCATTATAAATCATGTCTGTTATTTCATGGTGTCTTTTTCCTCTATTAAACAACTTTTATGATAATGAAAACCATTACTGCATAAAGTTGAAGAGTATTGAAGTGTCTTGTTGGAAATAATGTGAAATAACTCCAGAGGTTAGTATTCCATCCCCTTTGTTTACAAGTGGAGAGTCCTTAACGGTGATCCAGCCCCCTTGTTAAAATCACAACACAATGTAACTGTGCATTCTATAAATTCTGGAATGGTTTGTGAAAATTAGAATAAGAGGTAGGCCTGAGATGAGGAATTTGTTCACTCAAGGTAATGAATGTTGGAATTCTCCAACCCAGACAGTGGTAGAAGCTCATTAATGGAGCAAATTCAAAACAATCATCAATAGCATGGGAAAGTGGTGTTGTGTTGCTGGTCCATCATGTCAAGTTGCATGGTGGAGCAAGATTTGAGGGGGTTGAGTGGCCTACTTCTGCTCCTACTGACTCCTGCTAATTTAGCAGTACAAGTATGCTCCTAGGTTAAACTTCTGACTAAAAAAGACCCATAGTTACTGCTTGGCACAAGAGATGTGGGCTAGGATGCAATGCATAACTGAAGCTCCAGGACCAGATCTGAAAATATAGCAACTAGCAGCAACAGATGATGGTTACATATTAAGTTGCAGCAGAATGTAGGGAGTTGATTACTTGAATGAGTCAAGGTGAATTCTTAGTGTTTGTCTTTGTTATACAGAAAGGTTTGAAACTTAGAATGTAAGCAGTGCTGCCACATTTTACTCACAATTCACGAGTTAAGATGAGGAGATTACATGTACCAAGGAATATGGAAAGTCACTGTAAAAGATCTGTAATTGAAAATCTGGCATTTGGTAAGAGGAACTGCTGTTTAATGTGAACAAATGCAAGTTGAGAATAGGGAGGAGTAATAAACAGTATGGCTATGGAATCAACTAGCACATGTTGCAGGAAGTCAGACAGAAGAACAACTTAGTAAAATCATCAGCAGCATGATTTGTAACAGTAATAAAGGAAAGAAAGTAAGTATTGCCAGGTGCATAGACCATATGTCAATGCTGAGCTTTTGCAAAACGTGAGTTCAATGCTGTCAACAGAACTGTTTACAGAGATAGTAGGAACTGCAGATGCTGGAGAATCCGAGACAACAAGGTGCAGGGCTAGATGAACACAGCAGGCCAAGCAGCATCATAGGAGCAGAGTTTACTGTTTACAGAATTGGTTATTCTATAGCGAATGTATGCTGTCCTCAGAGATTAAGGTTGTACTGAGGCTTGGGCAATTGAAAAGAGACTACAGAATCTCTGAATATTCATTCTGGAAAAAAATAAATCCTGAGGGAGAGCTTGGAACCTTTTCAATGTTGTAATGAGTGTACGAAACTCAATTTAAAAATTACTTGCCACAAACTCTGTGTAACTAGGCAAAGCAGGCAGTAAGGAGAAAGGTCAGAAAGGAGAAGCTGAACAAATAGTTCAAACGTTAACTGCCTCATACAGGCTGCAATGAATTAACTAAGTGCCCAAGGAGATACTTGATGTAGGTAGAATCAGACAGTGTGCTGCCAGGAAGGAAACATGACCCTACAAGACTGTAGTGCTTTGTACTTAAAAGGGATGTTTATTTTATTTTGCAGCATTTTCCATCAATTATTATAGATGCAGGCTCATCTGAGTGCATTTCGATAACATATTTGGGACTTTTGTATTCTGACAGAATGTAGGTGTTGCTAGCTTGGACAAGTTAAGTTGCCCATCCCTAATTGGCCTTGGAGATAATGGTGAGCTGCAGTCCATGTGGTCCCAGATCCCTTTAGAGGGAACTCCAGGATTTGACCAAGCGACACTGAGGAAATGGTGATTATATTTTCAAGTCAGGATGGTGAGTGGCATGCAGTGGAAATTGAAGGTGGGGGTGTCTCTAGCTATCTACTGCCCCGCTCCTCCTTGGTAGTGCAGGTTTGAAAGATGTTGTTGAAGGCGCCTTGCAGTCTATCTTAATAGTATTTAATGCAAAATGTGGTGTGGTAATCTTTGATAACATTATTTATTATCTTGGAAGCATTCTGGAATGAAAATATTTCTGTTTTTGATTACTTTTAGGATAATTGTTAGTGTACTGCGAGGAAATATGCTCCATCTTGCAACTCTTGGTTCAGGTACAGTGAGACCACGACAATATAAAGTGTTCTCACCCTCTACTGTGGAAATTATAGAACTATAGAATCTCCTAGTTGTAGACCAAGAGGGTGTCTTGGTTTAAGAGGACAAATAAAATACTCAGCATTCTTTTATTGCATTGACCAGTAAAATTAATGCTCCAGCAGCTGGTAAATATTTTCACTACCAACTTAATAAAAAGACACGTCCAATCTTTGGTAAAATTCAATCCTATGTGTCAATTTCAGGAGTTCCATTGAAGAATTCTCTCCGTGAGCTCCAGCAAATTATTTCAAGCAATCCTCTACTGCTCACCTCATTATGTATGCACCACACCTATATCGCAAAGGTGTCTCTCAAACTTGCATTGGCTAGCAATCCAGGTACTCCCACTACCTAACACCAAGATTGACCATGGGCCTGCTAACCAGATTATAGTGATATGGCACTCTGGGAACTTCAGCGAGTCAGCATCAAGCAAGCCCCTGGACTGAAATTGGATGATATTCTCGACTCATTGCAATACCACATGGCTAAGTTGAGTAGACTGAAGACTACTCCCCTTTTAGACTTTCACATATGGCCATTTGGCTGAAGCACATGTAGTATGTTTGCAGCTTTTGGCACATGTTGCAGATGTGACAGTTATGTGCCATAGTGTCCTAAAGCAACATGTCTGTTCCTTCACTAATCACTGCTTGAAAACATGACAAGTTTCCCAGCTTTGCGCCTGTGCTAAGAGGGAAAGCAAGGCTGATGTACAGTCAGCCTGCAAGTTCTGCAGAAAAAGGTAAGGCAGGGATGTTTTGAGCATCTGAGTAGGTACAGCGTGCACGAGTGACAAGTGAGCAAGTGAAGAGCCCTGACGTGCACCCTTGTCCAGATGGGTGCCAGTCCCTGCATATGAAGTGGCATGGAAGCAGCATTACAATGTATGGTGTTGGAGTGCACTTGCACCAATGTGTGGCATTGAAATGGATAACTGTTTTTTAAGTGAGTTAGATATGTCATGAAGTTGAGACTGGTGCATCGTTGATGCCAATCTTTCTTGATGGGTGTATACATGTTGCTACCCATGTAGCTTGCCCTGAGATGTTGTGAAATGCAGTTCGGATGGAAGCTCAAGGAAGCAAGCCGCAGACTGGAGCCTCCAGGTACCCACTTAGACTTCCATGTCTAATGTTCTCGCCATTTAATTTTTCCCTATTGTGTAGGAGAATAAGAAATTGCATGTGATTGAGCTAAGAATTGGTAATCATAAGATGTTAGTGCATACAAATAGTCATCTTGTTATTCACAAGCAATATTCAAAAGTTATCATAAAAACTGGGGTATAAAATTGGACTTTAGATTCTCAACATTGAGGGGAAGAAAAGAAATTCAGATTTTTGCAGCATTTTTCTAACTGACTTGCCATTGCCCATGTCATTCAGGGGGCTAGGAAAACTCTGTCATGATTTAAAATTCACCTGTATGGGAATGCACCAGGAATTGCTAACAGATTTTAGGTGAATTGTTTTTCTCAGCTTCATGGCAAAAATAAGAGTACAGTCACATAACAGAAAT